GGGGAGGTGGCGTCCCTCGGCCTCCGCGCCCCGCCCGCCGCCGTCTCTCCGTCCGTGTCGGCCGCCCGCCTCCCTGTCTCTCTCCATCTCCCGTCTCTGTCGCGTTTCCGTCCCCTCTCCCCTCGCGTCCCTCCTCACTGCGCCTCTCGCTCGTCGCTGCGGTGCCGACTCCCTTACCCCTCTCTCCTCGGTCGCTCTCACGCGTTCTCTCCCTCCCGGTCTTATTTCTTTCTCTCTCCCCCTCGCTCTCCACTCCTTTCTCCAGTTGCTGAGGAGACTTCTGTCCCTTCTGTCCCTCCGCGGAACAGCGGCCCCCAGAATCCAGCTTAAGCCATTTCCCTGTTCTAAGACCTCGGACGAGGTCCCGAAGCAGTTAATAAGCAGCCCTTGGGGGTGGCTGTGTTGGGGTGTGGGGTGCCCGGTGCCTCTGCTTCCCCCTCTCGAAGTTCATGCATACGCAAGTGCAGAAGCCACTGTGCAGCTGTCTGGCGACCAGGGTCAGTGGGTGCCATGCGTGTCCCCCAAAACCCCTGTCCTCAGCCGCAAGGACAAGTACCACAGGCCAGTACAGCAGAGAAAGCCGAGTGGTTTCCTCTGGGGTCCCTAAAGCCCTTCCTGAAAAATGACTGTGATTCCCCTCTCCCCCTGCCCCCAGGTTTTGGTTTGGCATAATCCAGACCTGGATCTGACATCTCAGGCCCTGCCACCTGCTGGTTCCTTCCTCGCTGACACCAAGCAGAGGGGCAGTGCGCTCTCCTGTCCTTTGACCCAAGCAGGAGAAATCCTATCCTCCACCACCATTATGACGGGCTTTCAAACTTCAAAGATGCGTCCTCGATGGAGCGTGCCTTAAGTCAGACAGATGTGGGTTCAAGACCACTTGCTTAGGCAAGTCACACCACTCTAAGCTTCAGTTTTCTCACCTGTGAAATGGGAAGGGTAACTACCTCCCTTTAGGACTGTGGTTAGGATCATCCGTGGTGTGCCCAGCCTATAGAGTTTATTTGTTCTGTCCAGTTTCTATTTAGGCTCTTTGCTTGGCACTGAGGAGACAGCAGTTCACAGGACAGGCATGGTCTCTGCCCTCATGCCACTTGCATTCTAGTTGGGGAGACAAACTGTGAGCAGCAATCAATAATTACTTCATGACAGTTTAGAAGTGCCCTGGTGGATTAAAGGGTACGATGAGACCAAACATCCAGGGAAACTGCCCTAGGCTGGGAGCTCAGGAAGGGCTTTCTCAAGGTGTGATGACATCCAAGCTGAGACCTGAAGTTAGGTGTGGGGCGGGGAGGGGTGGGGGGTGCAGCTGGCAGGAAGTGGGGAAGGGCAGCTAAAAGGGGTTGTGGAGGAAGAGAGTTCCTGCAGAGGTGGAAGGGAGCGTGGCCAGTAGGAAGGCCAGTGTGGCCAGAGGGGGCAAAGCCAGGAGGCTGGAGGGTGGCTGGGATCGGGTGCGGAGGAGGAGGGTCTTGTAGACTGCAGAGAAGTCTGAGCCTCAATGCATGAAAACTGCTCTTGTTAACCCTCAACCGCATGAGTCCTGATTTCCCTTTCTCTGAACTGTAAGGAAGAAGCCAGGTCCAGCTCCCAGATATACCCTTTGCATTTGGTTTTTCTTGGGGGTTGCCATTTCTTGTCCCCTCCTCTGCTCCGTCCCAGCACTGTTCACCCTGAAGTGTCATTGCCTACCTTGGCACCTGTGCCCACACCTGAACATGACCTCCCCAAAAGCACACGCACCCAGGCTTGGTTCCTCTCTGTGCTCTTAAAGTCAGGCCCACAGGAAGCATCCTCAGCTGGCATTTGTTGTTTAACTGAACAATCAGTAGCCACTGAGCACCTACTGTGTGCCAGACTCTCTGCTGGGTATTACCCCTGCCCTCACAAAACACTTGTTTCATGGGGAAGATGTCCTTGAACACATAGGACCACAGTGACCATCATGAAGCAGTCCCACAGGGGACCTGAGGCATGGGACTGGAAGCTCCTTGAGGGCAGGCCCACCTTGAGTATGCTCACCTAGTATGATCCTCAGGGTGTGGCACAGTGCCTGGCACAAGGCGGGCACTCAGAAACATGTACTGAGAGGGCGAAAAGAGAAGCGAAGTTTAAATGTGGAAGGATGAAGGATAAGTAGGAGTTGAGTGAGCAAGGGACGGGGTGAGGAGACGGAGGGGGGAGGGATCTGGAGACAGGGAGGGAGCTCACGCTTACTGGTGGCTCCTCCGGGCCAGATGGGTGCTGGGCACTTTTGTGCAGCTACCTTGGCCAACCTTCACAGTACGCCTGCCTCATGGGCACTGTGGCCCTCCTTTTTCTGATAAAGCACTAGGGTCCAGAGGGGTTAGTCACTGGCCTGAGGTCACACAGCTAGAAAGAGCCTACACTCGGATTTGAACCCAGGGCTGCCTGCTCCTCTTCACTAAAAGGAGGAAGCAAGAGAGGAGGAGAAGGCAGGGGAAGGAGCCAACTGAGAATAAAAGAGGAGCGGTGGCAAAGGAGTGAGCTCCACGAGTAATTTTTCAACTTAAAAACAATTCCCATTTCCCAGCCCTGCGGAGGTAGGCGCGGCGGATCTGAGGGAGGCGGCCCTCTGACTCGCAGGAGCCTGCCGAGGGGCCCCAGTGAGCGGCTTCAAAGCCGGCCTCTGCAGCAGAGGCGCTTTTAAACTTCACACGGGAAACTTTCCAGGGCTGACTTTTTGCACTTTGTTTCCAAATCAAGAGATGGGGAAGTCCCTCTCAGCCCAGCGGGGAGGAGATCTCATTGAGAGACTTGCCCTGGGGTTCTGGGCGTGGCACTGGGGCTCCCCAACAGGACAACTGGCTTGTCCCCAGATGCAGGGGTGGGGGCATCTGCCCCTGCTGGCAGTGGGTTCCCAGGGAGCATTCAGAGTGTGGACTTGGCAGCTGGTCCCTTCTTGGGGGATGAGGCCTCTCTTCCTATGTCCTCCCAGTCTGTTTCTACCTGGGTTCTTGGTGGCATTTGCTGACACGGTATGACCATCTCACAAGGATAATGTGCTCTTTGCTTTTCTCCATGCAGCAGCCTCAAAACCAAGCAATACCGTCTGTCATCCTCTGATCACCATTTCAAGAGGCGGTGAGAGCCTTCCGCACCCTCAGCTCCCTCTGATTTTTGGAATTCAGATTTGGATTTTGGATGTACATCAGGAAGCTGGTTCCATGCATTTTAATTAAGCTGTCGTTTTTCATTTATTACTAATACAGTCCTCTTAACTATGATTTATTTGTTAAACAAAGCACCATAAGCCATCACTTATTCATCTTAATTTCAACAAAATTAAAGTAGTCGCTGTTAGATTGCACCTAATTGCACTTGCAATGAAAAGAACGGAGATGTTAATCAAAATAAATTGAAGATAAACAATAAAATCATTACATCTTTGCAGCGGTAAGTGTAACTAATCAGTTTTGACTTGAAGCGACCGAATAGGAATAATGAATGTGTCACTGAAGGCACTCTCATTAAGGGAAACCACCGAGACCTGGTCCTCGGGGCAGCAGACAGCCACCCTGCCCATGCGGCCCTGAGAGTTCCTGTCCCCTGGGCTGGGCAGAGGGGCCCTGAGGAGCAAGGGGAGCAGGGAGGAGGATCAGTGAATGGGAGAGAGTCATGGGTGGGGGGCCTGAGCTGCCTGCTATGAAGGGGTTCTCTCACTCTGATGAGAAAGCAGGGGTCCCAGGCCCATTTCTGTGTATCCCAGGTAACCAAGGATGGGGTGAAAGAGGCTAGAAGACAGACAGACAGATATCCAGGGGACACCAACAGGCAGACACACCCCGGGGGATACAGTAGAGGAGTCAAAGAGAAAGAGACAAGCAGAAAGAGAGACCAGCAGACAGAAGGAGACCACGAAGAGAGATAAGGAAAAGAGGCCGAGCAAGGCTGGAGATGGATGGTCAGACAAGGACAGACAGAGCAAAGAGCCTCTGGGGAAGGAAAGTGAGGCAGCTCTGACAGGGCAATGGAGGAGGGATGGGGAACAAGCTGAGGAGGGAGGGAGGAGCAGAAGAGAGAGAACCAGGAGGATCCACACAAGTGGAGGCTGCGTGGCCTTAATTAACACTCTCTCTTGCGAGGACCAGACATGCATGTTTTAATTTTGAGCCAGTTAAAGCTCAGGCAGCTTCAGGTCAGAATTCTGGGGACAGAGTGGTTCTCAGCAGCCCATGCAGGTAAGTGACTATCAAAATGGTATCATTGGACTGGGTTCAGGGAACACACGGGCAGTGATAAGGAGCACTGAGGTGGGGGAGGCAGAGGGCCACCTGGGGTCTTCTGGACTCATCCTCCGACTGCAAGGATTTCATGGGCCTAAAGGGTTCAGATAGGCACCCCTTCCTCATGTCACAGGCCTCTGGGCCAGCCCTTGGGTCACTGGCCTAGACACCAGATGCTGAGTCAGAGATGCCAGTCTGGGCTGCTCTGGCTGAGGCTGCCTCAGCAACATCCCCTGTCTAGTTCTGGGAAGATCCCGGATGGGTCTTTGGAAAATGGGAAAATCTGAGATATGGCTATCTTGGTAAGACTGGGAACAGAGACCAGGAGAGACAATCTGAAAGACACATATTTTTTTAAATATCTACCATGGTTTCAGCCCTGGATTGGGCCTAGGAAATACACGGATGAATCAGATGTGACCTCTCTGTACCTCAGTTTCCCCATCTTTAAAGTAGGGTTAATAATAGAATCTACTTTATGTGTTTATTGTGAGGATTAAATGAGTTAATATTTGTAAAGATTGTAGAACAATGGTTGGTCTTTGGAAAGGGTTTTATGTGTTTGCTTAAAAATAAAAATGAAATAAACCCCTGCCCTGGTGGAGTGCAGAATTCAGTAGAGGAGACAGACTCAACTAGTAGTCAAGTTCAGTCACACAGGTTAAAGGCCATGATAGATTGCATTTCAGGATGCTTTGGGGCCCAGAGTGGAGACAAAAGCTCCAGCCAAGAAAAGTCTCAAAGGAGGACAGGTAAGGGTGAGGGGAAGAGGAAAAGAATGTTCCAGACAGAGGGACCACATGACCGAAGGCAGGTAGGCAAGAAATGGCAGATATGCCTGGGGATGTCAAGAGAATGAAAATAGAGGTGAGGCTGGAGACCAGGGGCTTAGGTCTTGATATGCTTTGGCAGGGACCATTGAAGAGCATCTGGGTGGACACTTGATGAATTTTTTGTTTGTTTTGGCTGCTCCATATGCATCTGCTGCACTTGGGGTGGGACTTTTGTTTTGGGACTGTGTTTTACCCTTTTTCTTCTCTTCTTGCCTCCCAGTCCATGGTTCTGGCAGAGGCAATTCCCCCAGGACTATAGAAGGAGCACGTGACCCAAATCTAAGCCAATCAGTGCAATCCTCTCCTATGGCCACAGCGATTGGCTGAGGGATGGGCAACTCCACCCAATGGGAACCAATCCAGGGCTTTGGCTGGAGGAGCTGGGAGAGGTCTTTGATCCTTTCTGCTGGTCTCTAATCTGACAGGATGTAGGCTGGGACTGCTGTCACCATCGTACTACCACCGGGATTCTGAAACCAAAGCCAACACAGCAGAAGGCAGCATGATGGAGCAAAGTGAATTCCAGTGACATCGTTTGAGCCCCAAATCCAGCCGAGATGAAGCCAGCCTTAGCCCCTGGCCTTTTGGTTTCATGAGCCAATAAATTCCTTTTTGTTTAAGCCAGTTTGAACTGGGTTTTCTGTCCCTCTGAACAGAAAGAGTTCTAGCCGATATATGTTTCAAACAGGAATGTGACACTGTCGTGTGTTTTGGTAACATCACTCTGGCAGCCATGGTGTGGCAGAGGGACTGGAGGGACTGAGCTTGGGGGCAGCAAGGCCAGTGGCCAGGCCGATGTGATCACCTTCTAAGAAGCTTGTGATGAAGAGCGAGCAGACCTAAGGGCTTTGGTCCCTACCCGTGTATTCATTTCCTTGGGCTGCCATAGCAAATCACCAACAAACTTGGTGGCTTAAAATGACAGAAAATTTTCTGTCACAGTTCTGGAGGCCAGGAGTCCAAAATCAACGTGTCAGCAGGGTCACATTCCCTCCGAAGGCTCTAACGGAGAATTTTTTTTCTTTTTTTTTTTTTTTTTTTGGCATTTTATTTTAATTGACACATGGTAAGTATACATACTTTTGGGGAACAATCTGAAGTTTCAATACGTATATAGTTGTATAATAATAAGGGTAGTTAATGTATCAATTACCTCATGCATTTATCATTTCTTTGTGGAAATTCAAAAGCCTCCCCTCTAGCTGTTATGTAATATACAAAACTTAACTAAGAGTTCCTCTTCCAGTTCTGGTGGCTCCAGGTGTTCTTTGGCTTGTAGTTTCATAACTCCAGTTTCTGCTTGCATCTTCACGTGGCTTTCATTTCCTCCGTGTCTGTGTCTTCTCTTCTGTCTCTTATAAGGACACTTGTTATTGGACTTAGTGCCCACCTGTGTAATCCAGGATGATCTCATCTCAGGATCCTTAACTTAATTACATCTGCAAAGACCCTTTTTCCAAATGAGGACACATTCACAGATTCCAGACATGGACATATATTAGGGGGGGGGAATGGGGGACAGCATTCAACCTACCACAACTAGCAAGGAAAGTGATCACCAGACCAAAGGACTAGAGTGAATATTGCTGAAAGGGGACACGAGGCAATGGTGAGAGGGCACCAGGAGGCACAGAAGTGCAAACCTCCTGGTTGAGAGGAATCCATTCCAGGGCACTGAGAGAACTTGTACGCAGGATTCCCTAGGCAATCTAGGAGAACCGGAGAAGAACTGAGAGCCTAAGGAATGGACGAGAGTGCTTTGTGTTTTCAAAATCTGGGAGCCAAGAGACTCTACAAATGCATGCAGTACTGAACTTAACAGGAAAGCACCGAGGATGGAAAGTAGTGATTCCCAGGGCCCCGCACCGATTCCCTAAGCACAAGTCATGCCAGATTAGCCTCACTTCTTTCTTTGCCAGGGTTGCTGGATGGGTATATAAGGAGAGCATAATGAATGATCAGAGTGCGACCAGCGCAGCCTCTTGTGGTCTTCTCATAAAAACAACAGATGATTAGAACGTTGGTTGCAGACAAGCACATGCAGTGTGACAGGCATCCCGAATGATCTTGACAGGACATGGTTTAAAAGATGAGAGGAGGTAGGAGAAAATATAAATGCCTATCACTGCTTCCAAAAAAACAGTAACATCAGCTCTAGAGAAGGGAGATCTGGGTGGAGAAGGCAGGGATATGGGAGGGGGCATATGGGCCTACCAAGCTTGAGGGGCTGGTCTGCACACTAATTTCATGTGTAGCCTTTGCTCATATAAAGCAGCAAAGGAGAGGCTTTGAAAGTGAGGGTGGGGGAGGTGGCGAAGACCACAGACAATCAGAGGCAAGAAAGAAAGGGTTTTGGAATTGTCCTGTTTATTGTGGTGGGAACTGGAAGCCAAGGGTTGGAGGGGGATAGTGCTGAGGGACATAGTACAGCACCCCCACCCTAGGCCAAGTTGCAGCTGACAGTGACTTAGGAGCCCTAGGAGCCACTACAAGGCAGCATGTGAGGGTAGAGAAGGTCAGGGACGCAGAGCAGCTGGCTCCTCTGGGAAATTTTTCTACTCCCAGGCCAACGACAGTAGAAATCCTACAAACATGGGAGAGTGGAGGAGGGTGCATTCACATCATGACCATCTCCCAGACCCCGTACCTGGCTCTGGGTACACTACAGGTGCTCGGTGAGGACTGCCTAAAACAGAAAGAGCTACTTCCAGCTCCAGTTCTCTATGGTGCCCATTTCACTTCTCAGAGCCTCAGTTTCCCCATCTGTGAAGTGGGTCAAGATGATCAACATGCCATGTGAAAATATCTTGTGAAAACTAGTTCCCGCTCACTGGCTGAGCGCGGTGCGGGTGCAACACCGAGGGTTGAGATCCCATTACCGGTCAGTAAAAAAGAGACAAAAAGGAAAAAAAAAAAAAACTTGCTGTATAAAAATTAAACATAAAATTACCATACGGATCTGGCAACTCCACTCTTAGACAAATATCCAGAAGAATTGAAAGCAGAGACTTAAACAGATATTTTCGCATTCATGTTCATAGCAGCAGTAGTCACAACAGCCAAAAGGTAGAGGCAACCCAAGTGTCCATTGATGGATGAATTGATAAACAAGATGTGGTACGTACATACAATGGAATATTACTCAGCCTTAAAAAGGAAAAAAATTCTGACTTATGCTACAACATGGATGAACCTTGAGGACATCGTGTTAAGCAAAGTAAGCCAGTCGCAAATGGACAAATCAAATATTGTATGATTCCACTTACATGAGGTACCTAGAGGAGTCAGATTCATAGAGACAGAAAATAGAACGGTGATTGGCTGCAGGAGGGAGGAATGAG